CCCCAAAACCCCAAAACCCCAAAACCCCGATAGGAAATTATCACAAGAAATTGCATTAAATCTTATTATAAATAATTAAATCTAGGCGATAACTCATTATATAACTTTTGCTTTCATTGAACTGCTATTCCTTTTTTCTCTCTAATCTTCTGCTAGTCCTTGACATCTCTTATGGCTTCTATCCATTTCGCAAACTCCTTTTTGTTTTCAGCTGACATCACTATTTCACTCTGATCACTTGAGTCAACCAACTTGAACACAAAATCTCTCCTATTTTCATAGTATCCTACTTTTCCAATCAATTCCAACGATATCAAGCAGATAAACTGAGATGGCTTTCTAAGCTGATTTTCTTCAAACAGCACCAATCCTACATTTGTGAGTATGACAAACTTCTTCTTCCAAGATGGACCCCAGAGTGTTAGGAAATCTGTCCAGCTTCTTGATTTCTTATACAGGTAACCACTCATTAGGGAATTCTGCATTAAATCTTTAGTAGTCCTAGCAGTCTAGTTTACAATTAAACTTTAAATCTAGCTCATCATCTCATTGAACTCAAAGAATTTCACATCACCATCTTATTTAGTGACTTCTACTGAGTCACTGAAGCTAATAATGATGCAAGTGTTGATCAAACCGTTGAGCTTATTGATAAAATCAATCAAGCCTGATATCATTCCGCTTGTTAATTCTAGCAGTATGTGAGATACTCCAACAAGACTTAAGTCATTTATTCTAAAAGCAAGGCCCTACTTTTATGTTGTTGATATAATGATCTCCTCTACATTAGTAATATTTATTGGTTTGAAAATGTGCTCATTGTTTGCTTTATTTAAAAGGTATAGATACTAAGATGTGATAACAAGAATGCAATCTGTATGCTGGCCTGCAGATTACTCAATCTAATGATACCTAACTAAGTCAGAGTAAATAAGATTGGAATTGTTTTGCTCACCATTCTCTGCTATTAACTACTATAATGCATCATTAGCTCCTTCATTTTGAGTAATGACGCTTTGAATATCTGCTGTAATTTCTACATTCTAGTGAGATACCTATTGATTTTCTTCCTCTTCTAATGCTTGATTTTACTAGAATGCTTGTTCACTTTCATCTTCTGCAATTGTGCCAAGTTTCTAAATATCTTGCAGTTGCTTAAGCTACTCTGGATCCATTTCAATTTTTCTGCTTCTTCTATTGGTGTCTTCTACACTCACTCTTCCTTTAACTTCAATAGATTGCACCTCTTCATCGTCGTTTTCCTCTTCTTTGACTTAATTCTCATCAAACTGGTAAATGAATGGATCCTACTTGTAATGCAAATCACTTCCTCTCATTCCAAATTAACCTAAACTTTATTTGCCGTAAACGCTGTTTTTCTTGTGGCTGCTTAAGTATCTCTGATTATCGCTGAATCTTGAGGAAGAGAAAACACTGTTCTTTCTAGAATTGTCATTAAAAGCTGCCAATGAAGGCTTATTAGACATATTTGCAAGAGAGAATTTCAAACTATTCTGCTGATTGAAAGAGGCGTTAGAACTCCTTTAGATACTCATTCGATTAGCATATTCAGTTTCCATTCTAATCTGTAATAGTTTGTTTTCCTAAAGATTAAACTAATTAATATAAAAAATATTACGTCTTTTAAAGACATGACTCTCATTTCCAGGAGCTACATATGCTGGGTTATTTCTTTCATATCCTCTTAATACATTTAGATTTTGGATTTCTATCCTTCAATAATTTGATCTTTATGATCAAGTTGCACTTCTTGTAACTAGATCTTTTCCCTTATGGCTCTCAACTCTTTATTCTTTCTCTAATTATCCTTTCTGTGTTCCTTGTCTTTCAACTCAATGAGGGTTGAAAGCTCAGCATGTTCTATGGCATTTTATTGGAACTTGTTGAGAAGGTTTTATATTTGTGACTCAAGCATTTTTTCTTTGTCATCTTTCTCTGGGGACTCGAAATCCATATTAATATTAGAAAGGAACTTTCTGAGAGTGCTCTGTTTCTTTGCTGAATTGGAATTTTAAGTGGTTAAAGGGGCTTGAGTAGAGTCTAAAGTGAGTGGATCTGCACTTGATGACGATTTAGGCAATAATAAACTATCAGATTTCAGCAATCTAGAATCACTCACATCAGATGTAGCTGTATTTCTGGAAAAATCCTATGAATCTTTATAGGACTCATCAGCAAGTGTTTAAAATATTGCAATTTCACATTCAAGATCCAATATCTTCATTTGTAGCTATTTGTTTTCATTTTCTAGATCAAACTTGCTTTGAGATAAAGACTTTACCATCATATCTTGTTCTTGAGCTTTGTACACAATCTTATCGAATTCATGCTTAATTTTATCCAACGATTTCATAAGCTCCTTCTTTTCTTTATCAACTTGTGTAGTGTAGTTCTTTAAGATGTCATTTACTGATTCCATATGCCTGAGTTTATCATTTAAATTGAATATCTCTTCCTCATAGTCCTCATCAGTGTAATACTTTTGCTTATTAGGAGATACCCTTGTTGAACCCTTTTTGCTAGAGGATAGGTTATCTAATTTTAAAGAGTAGTCGTAGAGTGATTAGATAATTAATCTTTGGTTAGTGCGGCTAATCTGATCTAATAAAATGACTTAGAGACACTACTGCATCTTTTCAAGTGGTGACATCTCACTATTTTAGGTGGACAGGAATTCTGCTGTGCAATTCTAGGTATGATCTTCGCTAAAATCTTCATTTTCAATTTCATGCTAAGCTGGGGCTGTATCAAAAACTGAATTTTTATGAGAAATGTGCTGCATTGTAGTACTCAGTTTTCTAAACAACATGTTATTGTATAGAACCATCAATCTGTCAAAGTGATCTTCCATTCTTTTAGTTAGGTCTGAATAAGATCTTCAATAGTATTTTAATATGCAATTTTATTTATCAACTCTATTTGTTTATAGATTCATTTTATCACTTGGGGTTTTGGGGTTTTGGGGTTTTGGGGAGATCGGAAGAGCACACGTCTGA